GAGATCTCGTATGGGTTTATACTCCAGTGAGAAAAGTCGGTCTCTCCGAAAAACTCTTAAGAAGGTATTTCGGACCGTATCAGGTGCTACGCCGTTTATCAGCCGTGACTTACGAAGTACAAGATTTTGATCCTGCTTCACGAAAAAGAAAACTAAGAGAAGTTGTCCATGTACTGCGTATGAAACCGTACCATGATCCCGCCGAGCAAATCGAAACCGAGGATATTCCTCCCAAAGAATCATACAAAGGACCCATCACTCGTTCCAGAATAAAGACCCTTGAACAAAATGACAGCGGGGCGCTGTCTTCTTTTTCGAGGGGAGCAATGCCACACGCATAATTTGCTACAAGTCCCGATAGCCGAGTTGGCAGAGCGTTGGACTGAACTTCCTCAGGTCTCGGGTTCGAATCCCGGCCCCGGTAGATTTATCCAAAGACTGGAATTTTGTTTCCGTTTTTAATGTATTGTTTCTCTAGGTTCTAGATGAATCCAGATCATTCTTTAGAGTGCATACTGGTTATTTCTCGAATATTCCGAAGTGTATAAAAGCAGAGTTCATCGCCAGTTGGGCATGTTCTCAGTCCAGTGTTGTATCGAGCTCCAAGCGTTAGAATAAATCTAATTGTTTGTTTAATTGAACTGTGTACTTCTTTCGAACTCCGTGACAATATATATACTAGAGGACCCGACAGACGTTGTCCTGCACACACATCTTAAATTCAAAATAAAAGATTTTTGAATATTCGATACTGCGATCGTAGTGCAGTCTGCCGGATCCAATGTAAAACATTCCAAGATCAGCAATTTATAAATAAAAAAATAATTAAATAAACATTTCTAAACCGAATTATAAATCTAAACCATTCTCGAGTCCACTGGAACAGACAAAAACTTTCATCAAAATCGGTCCAGCCGATTAGGAGGAGTTCAGTTACATACACACTCACAGAAGAATTACATATATAAAGATTATGTAAAAAAGATATTAATTAAAAACGCTAAAAGGCGTGAATCGCGCGTCTGAATTTTCGTAACAATAAAGACCGGGTTTAGCCAGTTTGGCTGAAAATCAATTTTCGACGCCAACTTACGTCTTTTTCAATTCCTACTATTAGCTCACGATGTCTATACATATTTTATGTGTTTGTTTGTTTATTTATATATTTATCTTGGTGGAATTTTCAATCGTTAATAAAACACATTTTAAAGCGCTCAATTGAGCTGAAATGTAATGTACATGATTATTTTGGATGACAATACAATAATTTAATTATGATTAATAAAAATTAATTGATTAAAACTAATTATTTAAAAAATTACAACTACAGCCACGTTGGTGACTTAGTGACCCTTTTGGCGACTTATGTCAAAATTTGAAAAGGTTTTTTTTCTCACGTGTTAAATAAAGCATTCAGTTGAAAGGAAATTTTATATACACGATTGTTTTGGATGACAATACGATATTTTAATAATAATTAATTACCACTTAATGTTGTGATTCTGTCCTATGTATATACATATTTATTATAATTGCAACTATTTAATAAAGAGTAGCTAAAATAAATTTTTTCTTGGTTGATCTAAGTAGGAATTGATTACATTTTTTTTATATTACTAGTTTATAACAATAACGTTGTTACAGCAATGCAGGTGAATGTTGAGTTGTATTTTTTGAAAGTTTTTAATTAATATCTTTTTAACTAATTGCGATATCGGACCGAATTGTGAATCTAAATCATTCTCGAACCATTCTCACCCACACAAAAAATTTCATCGAAATCGGTCCAGCCGTTTAGGAGGAGTTTAGTGACAAACACACGCACAGAAGATTTTTATATATAAAGATATTTATATATATAAAGGAGAAAAGCGACTCACACTGACTAATCACGATATCTCCGGAACTATTAAACCTACAGACTTGAAATTTGGTAGGTAGATTCCCTTCATGGAGTAGACGTCAGCTAAGAACGGATTTTGCAAAGTTCAAACCCCAAGGGGCGTTATAGATAATTATTTCCATTACTAAACTATTAGATGTACAGTCGTGAAACTTGGTACACAGATTTTTTTTTTCCTTCATAAAGTAGAGATTCCCTACATAATGATTTTTACGAAAATAAACCTCCAAGGGGCGTTGAGGGCGCTTAAGGGGCGTTATACATAATTATTTCCATTTTTAACCTATTAGACGTACAGTCTTGAAATTTGGTAAGCGGATTCCTTTCATAGAGTACAGATCCCCTACAGAATGGGTTTTGTGAAAATCGACTCCGAAGTGGCGTTATAGGCAATTAACTCCTTTTTTAAACTATTAGACGTAAAATCTTGAAATTGAGTCAGCAGATTCCATTCACTGAGTAGAGATCTGTCATAAAATGGGCTTTGGGAAAACCGTTTCCTAAGAGGCGTTGCGGGCGCTTAAGGGGCGTTACAGATAATTATTTCCATTTTTAAACTATTAGGCGTACAGTCTTGAAATTTAGTAATCGAATTCCTTTCATAGAGTACAGATCCCCTACAGAATGGGTTTTGTGAAAATCGACTCCGAAGTGGCGTTATAGGCAATTAACTCCTTTTTTAAACTATTAGACGTAAAATCTTGAAATTGAGTCAGCAGATTCCATTCACTGAGTAGAGATCTGTCATAAAATGGGCTTTGGGAAAACCGTTTCCTAAGAGGCGTTGCGGGCGCTTAAGGGGCGTTACAGATAATTATTTCCATTTTTAAACTATTAGGCGTACAGTCTTGAAATTTAGTAATCGAATTCCTTTCATAGAGTACAGATCCCCTACAGAATGGGTTTTGTGAAAATCGACTCCCAAGTGGCGTTATAGGCAATTAACTCCTTTTTTAAACTATTAGACGTAAAATCTTGAAATTGAGTCAGCAGATTCCATTCACTGAGTAGAGATCTGTCATAAAATGGGCTTTGGGAAAACCGTTTCCTAAGAGGCGTTGCGGGCGCTTAAGGGGCGTTACAGATAATTATTTCCATTTTTAAACTATTAGGCGTACAGTCTTGAAATTTAGTAATCGAATTCCTTTCATAGAGTACAGATCCCCTACAGAATGGGTTTTGTGAAAATCGACTCCCAAGTGGCGTTATAGGCAATTAACTCCTTTTTTAAACTATTAGACGTAAAATCTTGAAATTGAGTCAGCAGATTCCATTCACTGAGTAGAGATCTGTCATAAAATGGGCTTTGGGAAAACCGTTTCCTAAGAGGCGTTGCGGGCGCTTAAGGGGCGTTACAGATAATTATTTCCATTTTTAAACTATTAGGCGTACAGTCTTGAAATTTAGTAATCGAATTCCTTTCATAGAGTACAGATCCGCTGCAAAATGGGTTTTGTCAAAATCGACTCCCAAGTGGCGTTGTAGAGAATTAAGTGGCGTTATAGGCAATTACTCCTCTTTTAAACTATTAGACTAAAATCTCAAAATTTAATAAGCTGATTCCATTCATTAAGTAGAGATCCGCTATAAGATGGATTTTGTGAAAATCGTTTCCTCAGTGGTGTTGCGGGGGCTTAAGGGGCGTTATACATAATTATTTCCATTTTTAAACTATTAGACGTACAGTCTTGTAATTTGATAAGCGGGTTCCTTTCATAGAGTACAGATCCCCTACAGAATGGGTTATGTCAAAATTGACCCCAAGTGGCGTTGTGGAGAATTAAGGGGCGTTATATATATAGGCAAATAACTCCTTTTTTCAACTATTAGACGTGAAATCTTGAAATTGAGTAAGCAGATTTCATTCAATGAGTAGAGATATGCCGTAAGATCGGTTTTGTGAATATCGTTTGCTAAGTGGCGTTGCGGGGGCTTAAGGGGCGTTATGGATAATTATTTCCATTTTTAAACTATTAGACGTACAGTCTTAAAATTTGGTAAGCGAATTTTTTTCATGGTGTAGAGATCCGCTAAAAAATAGTTTTGGGGGAAATTGATCCCCAAGGGTCACTGAGGAGGATTAAGGGGCGTAATAGATAAATATTTCCGCGTTTCAACTAATAGAACCACCTGCTTGAAAATTAGAAGGTATGTTACGTTCATGGAATAAAGTTCCTTTTACAAAGATTTTTGCGGAAACGGACCCCCAAAGGAGTGGGGTACAGAGGGATTAAGGCGTGTTATAGAAAAATTCCTGTTTTTGTTTACTTGAAATTTGTTGAGCACTTTTTTTTTCTTTAGTTGAATAGAGTTCCACTAAGAATGGATTTTACGGAAATCAACTCCAGTTGGAAGCGGGGAGAGTTATTGGGGCGTATTGATAGACAAAAAATTCCCGTTTTTAAACTGCTAAGACTATAAAAATAAAATTTGGTTTGCATGCTTCTTTTGTTGAATTGGAATCCGCTAAGAATGCTGTCAACGAGGTATTGATGATAAAAATTCTGTTTTTGCTCTGTTAGATTTAGACTTGAAATTTAGCACACATGTTTATTTTATGGACTAGAGATCCACTGAAATTTGGTTTGGTAGAAATCCACTTGATTATTAGGTTAAGTGAACAAAAAATATCTTTACTCTTCTATTTTAGATATAAATAGAAATTAGATATTATAATTTATGTTCTTTTTATATCAAGGGGTGAGAGTGTAACAGTTATAAATATATTTTTCAATACAATCGAATTCTTAATGCTAGGTATCAATAATTAATATATATGTAAACAGTATACATATATACAACATCGTGAAATACCCAGTGAATCGGGTGGGTAACGGCTAGTATATATATATATATATATATATATATATATATATATATATATATATATTCTTCAAATTTTCAATCGTTAATGAAATACTTTCTATTCATCCATTGAAGTTCAAATACATTTTTTTTTAAATTTTAGTGGATTACACCTGATGTTAATACAGTTTTTTCAAATCGCAATTCATTCATTTAACTAAAAAATGAATAAATAGTAACAAGCAAAAATAATAGGCCAACACCCTATATAAAAAGGAAAAGCGCTCGCTTTGTCCCTGTAGCGCAATAGCTAGCGCATTGGATTTCTATTCCAAAGGTCGTGGGTTCGAATACTAACTGGGATGGCCTATTTTCTGAAAATGTGATTTTTGAATGAATAAATAGTAACAAAAAGACAGAAAAATAATAATCCAACACCATATATCGAACGCAAAATGGAAAATCGCTTTCTCTTTTGCCATTTGATGTTGTGATTCTGTCATATACATATACATATTTATGTTAATTGTAATAACTTAATAAAAGGTAACTAAAATAAAAATTTTCTTTGTTGACCTAAGTAGGAATCGACTTTAAAAAAATTTTTATATCACTTGTTTATAAATCACATTACTCTAATTTCTGTACTTCGTGATTCTGAGGATAATGTACGTTGTCGATCAATATAAGGAACCATCACATGTCATTCCGTTTTCTGTTATATTTGTTTTATTCCCCCGAAAACCCTCATCTTCGGCTTATGCTGTAATGAACCAAACAAAACAAACTGTAGCCGATTTTGACTTGGAAGAATAGAACTCAATGACAGCCTCAACCTCAGTTCGAATGAAAGCAGGCGCGTGCGATAAAAGAAAAGTTGAGGACGAGGTTAATGTTGGAAAATGAATTATTCGACAAAGCTTTGAAGAGCTATGAGATAAGAAAAAAATACGTTTATATTACATTTCTATTCATATATTGTTTTTAATTCCGTGGATATTAAAATTCTCAACAAATGTGCCAGTTTATATGAAGTCATTAAAATGGGCAAGATGTCAGTATAAAATTTAGATTAAAAAAATTTACGGTAGTATATAAATTGCGATAATATTTAGCAGTATCATACTGTCCTAAAAATTTATAGTTACATTTATATGTGCACTGCGGCATATAAATATTTATAAATTTATATTTTTGTATCAACCTGATTATTCCATATCTGGATAGAATAAATGATTCCACATTGATTTTTGAATGTTACTCCCAAAGCAGTCTTTCCTTTTTAAAAATGTTTAACTTGATGTACATATTTCCTTAAATTTTTCAATTTATTAAATATTTTAATAGAGAGATTAATTGTTAAGGAAATCTAAAAGGATAGCGGGAATGAGATTGCATTTCATCATCAATTTATTTTAAAATTTTCTGTTCTGATTTAGTCAAGACTAAGTCTTCTAATTAACATTAAACAATTGAATTAATACAATGCACATGGATTACAGCCATCGGATTGCAATACTTTTGTATCTAAAAAGTAAAAATATTGCAAATATTTATAAAACTTTATTTCATAAAGTATTTCTATTTTTGTTAATAACATTTGAACTATATCAAGTGTATTTATTCTATAAATATTTATAATCGTATATGCTTAAAAAAATCTTAAAGTAACAAAAAGTTTTTTCCCTATTTTTTTTCAGAACAATTTCTGTGTGAACATATTTAACTATGGAATTAATATTGCTTGAATCGCCCATTTAATATGGGAGAGAGATTAACAATTCTTTTTAACAAACACTTCTAGGTAAATAGTTTCAACTATTCTTCCAAATAGTCAATTTTTTAAAAAATAATAATAATGACTCAAAATAATTACTTTTTATTATTCAAATAGGCTTTCTTAAACTTTTTTTTAGTTAGAAGCTTTTTTAAACGTCCAGAAAATATTTTCAAAGTTAATGTGAATATTTCAATAAATATTAAATTCATTTTAAATACATTTATAAATTTAAAACTTGGGTTACTAAAAATTTAAATACTTTGACACATTACTAGTGTGGAAATTGGAATTCTTGACTAGATTGAAATTTATTAAAATAGCTTCAGATTGAAGTAAAACAGATTGCTGTAGCGAAACTTGCACCAAATGGCGCTGATCCGCTATATGTAAAAAGACATTGCATTGTTTAAGTTCAGTTCTGCTGTAGTAACATGTAGCTGTTTTCGCTCGTTTGGAGTTTACGTTAAAAATTAAAATTTTCCGGCAGGACATATTAAGTAAAAACGTATATAGAGCATTATTAAAAGTATAAGAAGGTAATATGGCTGGTGAAATAAATTTTTGTTGTGAATTATTAATTTATAGTTAGTTTTCATACTCCTATAACTACTGAACCACAGCTAGTAATGAAAATAAGTTTCACAAAAACTGCAAATCCACCATTCTGATTTTATATTTAAGTAAACAATTTTGGAAAAAATAATTACATTGCATACACTTAAATGTTACTGCAATAGAGAAAAAAAAGAACGAAATACAACATACCAGCCTTATAAGTATTTTTATTTATAACATATAAAATAATCTACATAAAAACAACGCATATATGTTTATATTTACAATGAACATTTTTACTTACAAAAATTACATCTTTTCCCATGCACATAATGCAATAAATAAAAGAGACTGATAAATAAACTCTTCTTCCAAAGTCCGAATATCATTAAAAACAAATTAATTTATATAAAGCATAAATTGTAATTACTAGTATTTAGAATACGTTTAAAAAACACACATACAGTACGAGAATTAAACTTTTTTTAAGATGATATTTTTTCAAGAAAGTTTTTTTTTATTTCAAGTTCTTTTATTCTAAGTTATTTATTCAAGTTTTATACTTCTCTTTGAATTGACTTATTTATTTAAACTTGTTTTTCCCCATATTTTCGTAGTAGGTAGAAGTATTAAATGAATTCTGATATAATAAATATTTATACCGTGTACAAAAATAATCATTTATCGCTAACATATAGAGTCAAACTTCCATCCTTTCATGAGTTTTTTAGCGAATGAACTCCAAAGGGCTCTTCCGTTCATTTTAACTGAAGTTTAAAATGATTTTTAATTAAATACTCAACACAGCAAAATCAAGTCGATATATTTGGAATGCCCCAGCCGGTTTAAAATTCTATGACTCAAAATCAATCATGTTATTATTATTTAATTTAATTAACCTAAAATGGCCTTTGTAAGGGGCTTAGCGCCAACAGGCCCAAAGTAGAAATTATTACCCAGCTCAACCCCAAACATAACCTTTCCTCCTCCACTCAAGACTTTAAAAATTCTAGGTATAAGTGGCAGCAAGTTCCCAACTTGGAGGATGGGTTTGCCTTTTCCAATACTGATTGCAATTTCTCTTGGTTGAGGGGCTGCATATCCCTCACCCTGTTGGTATCCAGACCCAATGCTAACTCCTCCATATCCCCCATCTCTGTCAAGAGCTACAGTTTGGGTCGGATATTGCTGAATAACATTGTCTTGGTAATTTTCTCTGGGTTGTTGCTGGTGTACCTGTAACAACTGTTGTTGCTGTAGTTGCAAAAGTTGTTCTTGCTGTCGCCTCTGCTGTAGCTGAAGTGCCTGTTGTTGTAGTTGGTGTTGCTGTTGAATGCTCAAGGGCAGTTGTCTTTGCTGTGACTGTTGCTGTGCTGTGGCTGGCTCCTGTTGCTGTCCTCTGTTAATGAAGTAATTCATGAAATCAAATCCTTCATCTTGTCTTCTCTGGATACTTTGAGTTTGGTTGGGTTTTATGACACTTTTCTCGGTAGTGTTGCTCCTTTGAAAGGTATGGTTTTGCTCCTGAAATACATTATTAAATTGTTTTATGACTTTACATTTTATGCGAGAATAAACAGAAAATATTAATAATTCATTAAAAACATAAATAAATAATTTAATTTTGTAATAATATACGTGTGAATTGTGTGTGTTGTTTTAGTGAGCAATAACAAATCACTTCTAATAAGGTAAAATTATTATTTTTATTATTTAGAAAATTTGAAGCTTACTGTACTCGTTCATAACATTAGACTATAGAAAAAGTGAAAGATAAAAAAAAGACGTAAATTTTACGATTTCTTTCTTGTGCATAAATTCGTAAAATAATTGAAGATTTTCATCGCTTGATGATGGGGGAAAAAATTCACTATGCTTTTATAATAATAACATTTTTGTTAGTTTATTGAGAATTAATTTCCTTTAAGAACTTATCTTTAAGAGAACCCCACTTTTATGTGAAATTGAAGGTTGTCCTCAGACAGCATTGTTTATAATACTAAAACATCCAGCTTTCTGAGTTTCATATTTCTGTATGATTATTTTATTCAAGTCATTTCAGTCTCTCTTTAGTGGAGATTATAAACTATAAATATGAGTATACTCATATGTAGTAATGAGTAATAATTTAGTTGATCAAAATTACAAAATTAAGATAAATTTCGTTATTTTTAAAAAATATCTTGGTCTTCTAAAAAAATTAACTTCTTAGATTTCGATTCTTGAGACTATCTTGAAAAATACATACTGTAAATTTTAATAAGCAAATTTGAATAAAAGTTGATTTATTACACAGTTCTTTTTTTCAATTCCTACTTTTATATAGTTAACTTTCTCCCTATATGTATATTTATTTATAAATATATATCTTATTCAAATTTTCAATCGTTATAATGAAATACTTTCTATTCATCCATTCAAGTTAACATACATTTTTTAAACTTGTAGTGGAGGAATTTTTTTTATGTTACTTGTTAATTGATTGTTTATTAATGCCGCCTTTCAGAGGTTCTCTAGAACTATTGAAATTGAACTTCGTAATTTTGAGCCACGATCAAGGGACGAAGGCACCTGAGTTGACACAACCCTCTGCCTAAAATTTCACACACACCAAAGTGAGGAATTTGAACCGCGTCAGATTTGACGATGATTAGCGCCTCTCCGAGACGAGCCTTTAGCGCCAGTAGGACTTCATATAGTATATAACTCTCGTCATGAATTCGTGTCCATGGACTCTCGCTGAGTAAATTAATTTTATTATCCCCTACTAACTTCTTAGTTCATCCTTAAATTATATTTAGTTTACTAAAGTATTTTTGTGTCTTAAAAAGAAGGAAATTCAGCTTATTTACTTTATACATAATTTACTCTCTTCTGAAAAAAATTGAAGTTCGATATTAATGAGGTTCTACTTTCGTACAAACATCCATTTGCATACTTTTTCGCTGATCGTATTTTCCAGAAAAATGCTACTCGAAATTACATCACAGTTTTCAGTAGTATAGAAAAACAAAATATATGGATTGAAAT